ATTTTATTGCAAATTTGAAAACGATATTAAAATAAAACAAATTTAAAAATGCAAAACTATGATAACCTTGGTTTGAATGTAGGCCTACTTTCCTCATTATTTATTAAAGTATTGCTTTGCTTATCGTTCTTGGTGTAGGAGGTTAAACGACCCGTCCACAGTCACTCCATTCTCTCGGGATGACAGAGGCTATACTCCTCTACATGTTGCTGCTATTTGTGGTGAGCATTGACTTAATTTAGTTTAGTTTTTTTGTTTATTTATTTTGTTTGGTTTATTTTGGGTTTTGTATTGTCTTTTTTGTTTATATAAATATATATTTTATTTTTTATTGTTTACTTCATTAGTTGGTTTTTGTTTTACTTTGTTTTTGTTCAGTTTGTTTACTTTTTTCTGGTTTTGGTTTTTGTTTTATTAGGTTTTTTTTGTTTTGTTGTTGTTGTTGTTTTTTCACATCATGTCTGGTATTTTATAATGGGTTAGATTTTGTTGTATTTTTGTCTTCTTTTTTTTAAAATGCTACCATATGAATCTGTAGCTTTAACACAGAGTTGACGGATAAATGTTGTGGCTTGTTCTCCTGTGTTGTGCTTGTGATCAGGTCAGTCCCTGCTGATTGATTTGCTGGTGTCAAAGGGAGCTGTGGTGAACTCCACCGATTATCACGCGCTCACACCGCTGCACCTCTCCTGCCAGAAGGGCTTCCAGGGTGTCACGGTCAGAACTTAACCTCACTCATGCTAATAATGTTCTTGTAGATTTGTAGCTGTGATGAACAGAGTTACAAAACTGTGCAGCTAGTTCCTAGCATCCAACATCACTTCAGTCTGTGGTATTTCTTCTCGCATAATTAAAAATGAATCTTATCACATTGTCCCTCAATTGTTGTTTCATTGATCTTCCTGTTTGCTCTTGTAGCTACTGCTCTTGCATTATAAGGCAAACACAGATGCTCAGGATAACAATGGAAACACCCCTCTACACCTGGCCTGCATGTACGGGCACGAAGATGTAAGTCTTTTTCTTTCTTTCTTTCTTTCTCATAATGAAACGATCTGTTTAACAGACAAAACAGTAGTGACCACGTAATGAAAACAGTTACTCACACTTGTGTTGCGACATTACTGTTGGATCCAATATAGTCGGCACAGCATCGTCTTTTAGTTTTGGTCTTTCTGAAAATCCTGCGTTGAATTGTGCCTTGTTTGTAAACAAATCCACGGCAAAATGTGCACAAAGGACCGAGTTCTTTTTGGCGCAGTCTGGATCTTCATTAAAATGTCAGTTCACCGAAAAATTTGAATTAGCCCATGATTTACTCACCCTCAAGGCATCCTAGGTGTATATGACTTTCTTTATTCAGACGAATCCAATTAGAGTTATATTAAAAATTGTCCTTGCTCTTCCAAGCTGTTTAATAGCAGTGGGCAGGTGTTTCTGTTCAACAGTCCAAAAGAAGTCAAGTAAAGTGCATCCATCTGTAATAAAACATGCCTCTCACTGCTCCGGGGGGTGGATAAAGGCCTTCTGTAGCGAATCGAAGAGTTTTTGTAAGAAAAATATCCATATTTAAAACTTTATAAACTTATAAAACTTTTCTCTCACTTCCACTAACCGTCGTACATGCGAGCCGTTCTGGCGGATGGCGTAGGACATATACATAACACATGCGCCTGTGAGATATGGTAGTCTCGCGAGTTTGTTTACAGGAGCAAAGGAAGCAAGGTTTCCTTACTTTAGCAAATGAAAACCAGTCTCCTCTTGGTTTATATTGAAATCCTCCTACATTTTTCTTTACAAATCCTCGTTTTGTACTTCTAATTCGTTACCGGCGTTTTGTTTTGCGGTCTCTCCTCCGCGCTTCCGCGTTCGTCACTAATCACCGGAGCTTACGCTATGCCTACGTCCTACGTCAACGATTCGCTACAGGAGGCCTTTATTCAACCCCCGGAGCTATGTGAGGCACGTTTTATTACGGATGGATGTGCTTTATTTGACTTCTTTTGGACTGTTGAACAGAAAAACCCGCCCAGTTCCATTCTAAATTTTGAAAGAGCCAGGACAATTTTTAATAAAACTCTGATTGGATTCATCTGAAAGAAGAAAGTCGTACACACCTAGGATGCCTTGAGGGTGAGAAAAGCATGAGCTAATTTTCATTTTTTGGTGAACTAACCCTTTAAAAATAAAGTTCATTCACTCTTTCCTAACGTTGGGATCAGAAGGATGACAATGCAAAGACTGTTTTTCCACAACTTGGCACTGCACAGCATTTTGTTGTCTTCAGAGCCTTCTTTATAGTTTGGATTCTGCATTTGCCTCTCGTTATTTACACTACCTGCGTGAATCGGTGGGCGGGGCTAAACAGGCAGTGACGAATAATCTGTGGGCGGAGCTAAACAGGCAGTGAGAAAGAAACGGTGGGCAGAGCTAAACAGGCAGTGACAAATAATCTGGGCAGAGTTAAATAGGCCGTGACGAAGAATCGGTGAGCGGAGCTAAACAGGCAGTGACGAAGAATCGGTGGGCGGAGCTAATCAGGCAGTGACGAAGAATCATTGGGCGGAGCTAAACAGGCAGTGACGAAGAATCGGTGAGCGGAGCTAAACAGGCAGTGACGAAGAATCGGTGGGCGGGGCTAAACAGGCAGTGACGAAGAATCGGTGGGCGGGGCTAGACAGGCAGTGACGAAGAATCGTTGGGCGGGGCTAAACAGGCAGTGACGAAGAATCGGTGAGCGGGGCTAAACAGGCAGTGACGAAGAATTGATGGGCGGGGCTAAACAGGCAGTGACGGAGAATCGGTGGGCGGGGCTAAACAGGCAGTGACGAAGAATCGGTGGGCGGGGCAAAACAGGCAGTGACGAAGAATCGGTGGACGGGGCTAGACAGGCAGTGACGAAGAATCGGTGGACGGGGCTAGACAGGCAGTGACGACGAATCGGTGTACAGGGCTAGACAGGCAGTGACGAAGAATCGGTGGGCAGAGCTAGACAGGCAGTGACGAAGAATCGGTGGGCGGATGTAGGGGTGGGAATCTTTAGGCACTTCACGATCTGATCCAATTCCGATTCTGGGAGTCATGATCCGATTCCAAAACGATTCTTGATCTACATTTTTCTTCTGCTGTGCAAATACATCTTTACAACTTTACATTTTAACCAACATTGCAGTTTCTATGCTTTTTATTTATAGTTGGATGTCAGTACTGCCATCTTAAAAATAGGGGTGTGAATCTTCACTGGTTTCACGATTCAATTCAATTACAATTATCATTATCAACTCAATATCACGATGCGTCACATTCTCAGTTTTCAATATTGCTGCACATGGCTACATTTTCATATAAATGTTATATCAAATTTAATGTGTGCAGAATTTACTTAATTTTTTAAAAAATATAAGCAGACTGCTTTTTAAAACAATTACTTATTTAAAATAAGTGTACTTTAAGTATCCGAAAGTTTACAGACAATAGGCTAGTTATGGGTTTTTCTTTTTTCCTCAGCATTATTGCCATTTGATTATTATTGATGAGATCATAGAGAGTGGCAGCTTTAGCAGGCTGCATTTACACTAATGCACAGACAGTGGTGGAAAGAGTACTGAAAAAATATACTCAAGTAAAAGTACCATTACCTTCCAAAAAATGTAGTGTGAGTAGAGTAAAAGTACTTGTCCAAAAAAACTACTAGAGTAAGAGTAAAAGAGTAGCCTATTTAAAAGTACTCATGAGTATTGAGTAGTGAATACTGAGCGGTGGATTCTACCCCTCATAATAAACGCTGTACACCGCAATTTATACTTTTTTAAAACATTGTACATTCTGTAATTCACATTATCTTGTTTGTCATAAAGAATGAAGAGTATCTATCATCCAGCAGTTTTAATTTTGATTGCCAACTGTTTAAAATACATCAAAACAGCACGGAAACAGTATTCAGTTGAAGAAAAGATTAAAGTTATTAAACTTTTTCAAAGGAAAACACACACACATGCATGTCTCTTTCCTGAGCCGCGGCGGTCTCGGTGAATCAGCAGCATCCACAACTGAACAGAACAAAAAGTGTTGAACTTTTGAATTGTTTATGCGCGAGTGCACTTGCTAAATGAAGGCGAATTGTACAGGGCTCTACACTTATTTTTCTTTTTAGGAGCGCTTGTGCTCCTAACTTAAAAAATGTAGGAGCACAGTCAAAAATTTAGGAGCACCAAAATTTGATAAAAAAATAGCCTTTCCATTACGAGGTGATATTTGACTCCTTAAAGTGATTTACAGTAGAATTAAAAATGCATTAAATAGCGAGGTATTTCTGGGGAAACTTTTACAAAGAAACACACACACACGCATGTCTCTTTGCTGAGCCGCGGCGGTCTCAGTGAATCAGCAGCATCCACAACTGAACAGAACAAAAAGTGTTGAACTTTTGAATTGTTTATGCGCGAGTGCACTTGCTAAATGAAGGCGAATTGTACAGGGCTCTACACTTATTTTTCTTTTTAGGAGCGCTTGTGCTCCTAACTTAAAAAATGTAGGAGCACAGTCAAAAATTTAGGAGCACCAAAATTTGATAAAAAAATAGCCTTTCCATTACGAGGTGATATTTGACTCCTTAAAGTGATTTACAGTAGAATTTAGTTTTTACCTTTGTAGTGGCATTTTTCTATCTTTATTATGAGTGTCATCTTTTGTAAAAATTTTTAAAAATTATATTTTATAAGCTTTTTAAAAATTGTAGATAAAACCATATAATAAGAACAAGTAGTTATCTACAATAAGAAGAATAAGTTACTAATCAAATGAAATCAGTATTAAAATTAATTTGTACAGAGGTAGCACAGAAGAACACAAAAGTGGCTTGTAGGTGTACTTTCAGACATTTAATGAGGATCAGGGGTGGCATGAGTGCAATTAAATCCATAAATTAATGTTAAGATTAATGTTTAAAAAAATCTTGAATATAGAAATATTAAATGATTTAAAGAACTGAACAGATACTTTAAAAATGAAACTAAATCCTCCAGCAGGTGGCGACAAGTCACATAATTTATCACTGAATCATTCATTCAATTGATTCATTCGAACGGCTGATTCATTCAGGAATGAAGCAAGTGACTGTCTTTATGAATGGGTAATCAGGAATCACTGACTCATAAGATTCATTTAAAAACGCAGTTCATTCATAAACGAAACGCCGCTGTGTTTGAATGGAGATGCGCAGCGGCTGAGCCGTGCCTTTTTCAAACTTTTTTCGACGACGAAATAGCAGTCATTCTTGAGAAGTGGGACAAAACAGGGCGCAAAATTGAAAAAATAAAACCTTGTACTCAGACAAATGAAACTACATTTATGTATCTTATATGTACTAAGCTACTGAGCTATGCTTTGATACAACCTCCCAACTTTTCTCTTTTTTAACAAAATGTGACTGTGTAATATAATTTCAACTTTATCTTAAACAGCATTCAAGATGTTTTTAACATTTCAAAACACATTCTGGTGTTAGCAGACAGATTACACTTTCACATGTGACCAACAATTCCACAACAAATATAAAATATCATAATGAAATATTATCAAAATATTCAACTGACGGAGTTGACACAACTGACGGAGGTGACGAAAACCTGAATTTGTAGTCATTTTAACTATCAAAAACATCGAATCAGTCAATTACTGCTTTAAAACAAACACAACAAACAGTGAGTATGTTATTGTTTATAAAGCTTTTATTCAAGAGTCACATTTAAGTATTTTGATATATCATTGGAACACAAAATCTTATGGTGGTGACATCTGACGGTGCTGACAAATTTGGCATTTCTTTCACAAAACCAGTGTTCATAGTTAGTAGCCATTTTATTTTTTTCTGTTGATGCTAGATGCTGATGGAACCTGCTTCAGGACTCAGGAGAATAAAATTATCTAAATATTTCAAATAATTTCCTCAGAAATTGGAAGATGGTGTTGACATATCATGGCTTTGACACAGGAAATATTAACATTAGGATTTAAAATATTCTAAAACTTAGCAGAGCCTGTCTGACACTGCTGTACTCTGCAGAGGTGAACTGTGGCGAGGGGGTCCTTTAGAGTGACCGCTGATATTCCCTGATTTTATTACGTTTTATTGAATGTCTGACGAAAAAATTGGGGACGCAACTTTAAAATCTTATGAAACATACATGTGTTATTAAAAAACAACCTTGCTTTGATAGGAGATATTATTAAGTGTTGCTTTTGATAAAACAAGCTCTTTTTCATCATTAAAAAAAAAACATTTTTATCCATTTTATTGCATATGAATGATTGAACCCTTCTCTGTGGACACACTGTTTTAGATGTAGTGAGAGGACATTAAGAAACACAGATTTGGTATAATAATGAGAAAATTAAATTGAAGGTGATAATTGTGTTAAATACATTCTATTATTAATCCCTC